CTTACAAATCGTCTATCTCTTATATCACCCTCGATTTTGTCATTTTACGGAGAATTTTTACGATTCACAGAATCGATATCTTCTTATGAGGACGATTTTACGATGTACTCAGGACTATTGCATCGCGTGCAATAGAACGCGGTACACATCGATATTGTCAGAATATAATAGGGATCCCCTATGGTGTGCATTATATTACCAGCATAATATTATCGCTCTGTTGTAACGCGCCCGTGACGGCCGTTAAGGTCTAGTAAGATCGCTTGGTGCTTAGATCGAGGTTCGCCTGTAGCTCTCGGGTGGGCGAGGATGCGTGTGAAGGGCTAAACAACAGTCTGGTTATTAACGAAGTTCCTAAGTTTTCTCGTTTGTGTTCGTCTGCTTCTCGCATTGTATCCTTGCACGTTGGATCGCAAAACACAGCACATGATTGTTGAGTGTCACGGTTGCCTTCGTGAATAGAATTCTCGACGTAAACGTAGAGAAAATGCACAGAGAAAATCTTTCTAAATCTTTGCAGCTTGCGTATATGCAAATGCAAAAGATTAAGAAGTAGAACCAAACATGCTGAAGTAAGCTTCACATGCTTTTTATACGATTCTTGCTTAATTAATAACACCATGTTCACAATGATAGGCGTTAATTAATAATACAATATAATACGTACGTCCAGAATGTATTATGGAAATTGACTATAAGTTTGTTGTAATATATATTTTTCGGCAAATATTTAGTTTCTATTCAAGCGATAATATTCATAAATGATAGAATCCTTGAGGTTTATGCAAACGAAGCTTATGAACCTTTTATATATAATGTGCGATATTCTTTTTATTTATGCTTTAAAACATTTAAGTTTTTTAAAATATGCGTAGAATAAACTTGTAGGATGTATTTGTCAATTTATAAAATATAGGAGTTAGATATCACGCGATTATTGTTGTTATTTATCCACCGTTCTAATTGGTTGCCAATCATATGATTCGGCTGAGTGAATTTGGGTTGATTCTGTTGGGTTGGTTTGACAGCTTGACATTTAACGATTAAATACCGTAAAATGATTGATTGAGAGCAAATGAAAAATTTTGTAAAATAAAATCTACATAGAGAAAACATAGCAAAAATAATTTGAAGCGCGTCTAAAAGGATCTATTGTGATTGTGAATCACACACATGCATTAATATCTGATAATTGGTTACTCATGCTATCGATGCGATGGTAAAAAGTAAAGCTCGCGAATTGCGATGCGTATACGAGATTAAAGAATGAGTTCATTGTTAAGAGAGTTCTCAAGTTCGTTCGTTTGCTCTTGTATGTTTCCTCGCGCTGCATTCGTACGCTCGCGTTAGAGCGCATAAAAGCTTGGTACTTAGAGGAAGGCGAATAAAGAGGCAGTGCGAGTCTTTTCTCGACTCGGCAACCGTACCACCGAGTGAGCACAGTCGAGGCTTTTGGACGCCTCTTAGCGCTTTCGCAGAAAATCGAATTACTCGTTTCGCGTTTGCGGTCCGCCAACGGCAGGAAATGAGCATCCAGTCCTTCACTGGGAATGGGCATTTTCCGGAGCAGCTTCGACGTCCAGGACGGCCTCCGCGACGTCTCGCCCGATCTCCGTGCAATTTGATTTTATCGCGGATGCGAATCTAAAAACAAACGATCATAGAGTTTTTCTTTTCCATTAGACAGCCTGCAGGCTAGAAGTTATACGTGATATATAGCAGCTTCCGTGATTAGTAAAACTAGGTGCAATTTTGCCGTAAACATTATTTAAAACGGTTTGCAAATCTTAATTGCGAGTAGTCAGGGTAATATTTCAGTATGTCACATTGATGTTTATAGATGTGCGTGTACTGAATTTAATAGAAAAGTCTCTCTGATTATAACATATTTACTTGTTTATATCAACTACATAATTTTTTCTATCACCTTTCGTATCGTTAGAAAAGATCTTTAATCACAAAATCACATTGATTAAACAGCACATTTACTTTATTTCATTGCATACAAAAAATAATTACATTAAACACTATATTTAGTAACGCATAATATATGCATTATTCATGTTTCTAATAATTTTTAGAAATTGTTGGGAAAATAAATAGAATAAATGGAAAGCTGTGAATGATGCTTTTGATAATGCTGTTGCTTTTACGATTACTTTAGTAACATCTATTATATCTTTTTGGACACAAACAATGATCTCTATTGTAAGTGTTAAACAAATACATTGTATAGTAATGAGAAAGAATGAATTAAATTTTGTAGTTATGATATCAATATATAATATTTTCATCATATTTGTCAGATTGGTAATCCAGATTTCACAGATATCATTTTAATAAATATCTAAAATTATCTTCCTTTTATCTCTTTATTATTCAGATTGTGTTTTTGTATATTATTGTGTTAATATTATTCAACAATACTAAATATCGCGAATACTTAGCGATGTATAAATAATTCTAAACTTAACAAGACCAGATCGTAATCAGTTGTGCGCATTACGTTTTCCTATATATATTCCTGTTTTCAATATTTACTTATTTAAATAATTAAATACATATTGTATTCTGTTTGCACTAATTTAAACCACATATCGTCAATCTATTAGTCCACATACATGTATTTTCATATTAATGATATATATGATAGAGGCACGATTGCAAATACAAATATTTTTGATTAGCTGAAAATGGTGCATGAGGCATACTATATACGAATGTTTGACGTCGAATTGAGACCATTTATCACTTTATTTGACGTTTTAATGAAATAAGTAAGATTTTTACAAAGGGACGCTTTAATTAGAACATATAATTTAGACAATATCTATAGTTTCCTTCTTGGAGTCTCGCGCCTCCATTGTGAAACTTCGCTTGAAAGACCTACAAAAGCACCTACAACGGTGCCGGAATATGTGTGACGAGGCAAGTGTAGTAGTAGAAATGTTGTCGGCTTACCTTACCCGCGAGTGAAAGGAAGAGAACGTTACAGAAAGAAGAAAGAGAGATAGAGAACGGAAAAGGAAGTGCGACGAAAAGAGCTGGGGAATGGAGGGGAGCTGGGAACACGTTTCGCTTCCTGCCGTCACCTTGAAGCCCATCTCTTACCGGTTTACGAGGGCACCCACGAAAGTTTCGGTACACTTGCACTTAGAGTCATCCTTAGGGGATAGTACGATATAGGTACTATAATGTCTCTTACGAATACTGGCCTGCGAGCTGTGGGTTGGGTTTATGACTTGCACTACTCGTTCGCATGCCACCGAAAGACTTGAAACGCATAAATTTCTTTTGCAACCTTCTTGATGGTGACTTTCATCCTAGTCATTCCAATACATCGCACTAACGATTACTCGGCTCATAACAGGGAATCAGTTTTTAGTGTTTGCACAGTGTATCGCTTGTTATTTTGTAATTTTTGATTTGACAATTTTCGACAATGGCGCTGAAGGACGTAAACGATCGAAGAAAGAGCAACGATGCGTCCAACTTCGTTAACCTCGAAACAGTATGTGCAATCAAAAAAGGAACTTCACGTAGAACCATGTTAGGATCTAGGGTTCGTTTAAAGAGTTGATAAACGAGGATATCTGCTGATTGATCGACAGTCTGTTAAAGTAGTCCCCGCACGTGTACGTTGCCCTGATGCGGTGAATCACAGGTCACGAAATCTTATCATCTGACACGGAAAAGTGGATAATCTTTTTCACCGTCGAACCGACGATCGATTTCAAGCTATTTTCACTCGCCACAGATTGAAAAGTAACGTTTCGATTGAACACGTAATTTCAATCTGTACAAGAGTTCAGTAGAGAAAAACTTGGCTTTTCTGATGGACGTGAAATTTATGGCTGACCATATGACTGATCTTACTACTTATCAGCATCATGATTTTGTATATGTACTCAAATTTTTGTAATTAAGTGTAATATAAGTGAAATAAAAATTGTAATCTAAAACTGCAATATAAATTATGGCTTATATTTTAAAAATTTTATTTAAAATCTTTTTATTTATTTAAATAATTAATCTTTAGAAATGTACAATTATTATAATGTAAACATATACAAGATTGTAATGTACTAATTATGTAATTAGAGTTTAATTATTTAAATACACGAATCTTAAACAAAATTAAAAAATATATAAAATACAGTCTGTATAATTAAATACATATTGTATATGAAATTCATAATGTGTATACAAAAATGAACTTGACGCATTGTAAAGCATATCGATGACATTGTGATGTTTAAATGCAAGACAACTGCTCTTTCTGAAATAACTTCCTTGCGATAACGTGTTAACACGATAACATCCACTAATTAAGCATCGGATCGATTAGGAGTCGTAGGTGTAGTTGCTTTATACGTTGTAATAAATTTTGGCATTTTGAGAAAGCAGCGCACAGATTGTATAAACAGAAATATAATCCGGCGTCTACTTGTTTAACGCAGGACGTTCGATCATTTATCTATCCTAAGGGGACTCTGGTGGTCGAATACCATGCAACTGACGTTGGTGTCTACGTGTGTTTCTCGCTATCCTAAGAACGTGTCTCCAGTACGAGGAAGGCGGGTCTTACGGTTTGTGATGGCGGAGGGCACGTGAACCCCGACGAGCGCATGCGAACCACCAACCCTAAAGCTCACGGCAGACCAGAAAGGATCACGTTCTCCCTCTCGTCTCTCATTCTCTCTTCCCCCCCCTCCTCTCTCTCTCTCTCTCTCTCTCTCTCTCTCTCTCTCTCTAAATCTCTCTCTCTCTCTCTCTCTCTTACTCTCATTCTCTCTCCATCTCTCCCTACCGCTCTTTCTTACCCTCTCTTTTACTCCAGTCGCTACCGAGCCGGGTAAACCTCTCGTGTGTCAGTCCGCACCGAGATTCCGGCGCGAATCGTTCTTTCCCGTCGTGGCGTCACGCCAAGTTCTAGATGGATGTCGCTGATCCGCATTATTGTGTCAGCGATTTACGTCGTCGCGCAGGTGTTCCTCGCTCGTCCATCCCTTGTGGAAGGTCAGTGATGAAGTTCGTCGTATGCTAACATTAAGAGTAATTGCTGTCTGCTTATGTTCGAAAGGGGCACGTTCTGTGCGTGGTTAGGGCTGTACGTGACTTATCCGGGTATATATAGCGTTGTGAACCAATTCCGCAATGTTTGTTTTGGCTACTCCGCGAAGTTAATGTTAATTACATCGTAAAACTGTCACAAGATATGTTGCGATATTTGATGTCTTTTCACATTTGTAACTCGTAGTGCTCTTATTATTTCTCTATATGCAGGCAGCGTAAGTTTATATTAAAGTTATAAACGCGAACGTGCAAAATATATAAGAAACAAAAAAAGCGATGGGTGAGTTACCATTAGAACTTGTTTCACTCTGAATCAATAAGCATTTTTTGTATAACACATTCTCGATGTGTGTGTTTATTAAATTGCACATCATTTTATACAGATGAGAAATTATATAAATATTAATAATATTAGATTTTTAATACAGCTTATTTTTTAATTTAAAAATTCATTTTAAAAACGTGTTTTTAGGGTACTTTTGAATCTGTGACTTTTTAACCATTTATGTGTGTTTTCGATTTCATGAGTTTATATTATAATTATAAGATGAATGGTTTTTTAAAAGAAATGAACATTTTATATTGAAGCTGATGTATATGGATACCCTAGTATTATTTTTTTAGTATTATTAAGTATTGGTTGTGGAAAACAGGTTGACACTTCACTTTGCGGTGCTGTGATTGTGATTCCGGGATTTAAGTTGGCCGGTAACTTTCGGTAGTTTGCGTGCTACAGGATTTCAGCATTAATTTAATGACATGCCGTAACACTCCGCGATGCAAGCAACTAACGACGCGTCATGCACGATAAACTGTACATGATAGGTACACGACATTTACATTTTATTTGTATAATCTGCTTCTGTGTGCCAAGAAGAAGCTACTTAACAGCGCGTGTATTATAAGTTTTCCAACTCAAAGGGGAAAGATGCATCCGAATTAAATTTAAATCCAATAACTAACGAACATCTCTGGTATCCAATTAGCAGGTGAAGTTTTAATGACGTCTTATTGACATTAAAGACGTCATTAAGACATTATTATTTAATATCAGCTTGCTACATGGATACTAAATAATATTTTTTTTTATTTGATAAATGCTAATGTTGTATTCGACTAATTCTTGTTTTAATTAAATACTGCAGTTGCTATAATATGCATATATATGTTCTACATATTTTAAATTAAATTTGCAAGTTATCACGAATAGATTGCCTATCAAGCTAAATTTCCTGTAAACACAGATTGCTCCATTATCAAGCAGCGTGTCAGTTTTATGCAGACAGAAACGTGTAAAGTATATCGCATATGTCTGCGATAACGTTATCACGAGAAATTTAATTTCTCTTTCATGCTTCTTTGCGGTCTACTTTTACTCCAGCTTTCGGAATCAAGATAAAATTCTCCAGGTAGAGTCAGCGCTAGCACAAAGAACACGCAAAAACTTGTCTTGATTTATCTACGATCGCGTTTTCAACGAAACTCGAGATTATGGTTCAAGATTATAGAGATGTACACATTGGAGTGTGGCGGATATCTTACCCATCGATTGGTCCGAGCTCTCGATTCTTCTTGCCGTGGCGCTATTATCCTTCAATATCCTGATACATTATTTATCTCCATCTATAAAACCTCAGAGTTTTCATGAAGGCGAGAAACCTTCCTTAGCAGGGAATTTTTTCCCAATCCCCCTGGCACGATCCTTACCCGCCGACAATAACGAACGGACGAGACGACGAGTGCGAGTGAAGCTTTTCTACCTTCCTCATCGTCTTTTTTCTCTTCGCTCACTTCGCTTCCTTTTCTCGAGCTCGTCCCACCTACCAAAAGCCTTCCCACATTGACTGCCAAAAAAGCCTTGGCAACGGCACGACACTCATTTAATTTAAGGATAACAAAGCGCTATCCGAGACAAATCCCGGGATTAGTTTTACGGCGTTCCTATTTACACTTCAGTCAGAGGATCACTGTGTTTCTCTATACATATATTTTCACCGCGATGAACAACATTTTCGTATAATATATACTGAATAAATAAAACATTCCTACAAAATCATCAGACAACGTTGTAATTTAGACTGTAAAATTTATGTCGTATGCCTGTTTTGGAAAATTACTTTTTTATATGTTACAATTACCATAATCTCAAAAATAAAAAGAAAGATTAGAGTAATTAAACAAATTCATTATACCACTTAATTATTAACTATATTATGTATTAAATGTAAAAAGTCAATTACATTATCGAAATATGTCTAAAATAATCGATTTATTGATATGTCAGAATTTCTAATAATTTGCAAATATTTTCGTAATACTGCATTTTACAATAATAAAAAATTTTTTAATTAACTGGAATATACTTATGTACATTTCAATATGCATAGCATTTTATATGAAAAATTAAATTTAATAAACTCTTTTTTTCTGTTTCTCTAATTCTAATTAAAGAGAAAACTGCTGCGTTAAGTTTCAAATGTTAATATGTTAATGGATAAAACAATATTATTTTTTAGTAAAATTCACTAAAGATAGTAGTGACTTTAGATTTCAATTAGAATTGAGAAGGCATTTTTTAACTAATTTTTAAAGATTAGAGAAAAACCACTTATTTAATCTATTCTTTGAAGAAGAGAAATTTTAAATTAACGTTAAAATAATTTTTAATGTAGCACATAAAGCGCAGAGTATAAAGGAATGATTATATTTAGATACATAATGGCTTTGAAGTATTATAAGTTTTTCGGAACATCTTATTAAAATTATCTTTGTTATTGTAGAAACAATCGTTAATAAAGGTAGCACAGATCATGAATCACATTCCATGTGCTTCGATCTTACGCATACCCAAATTAGATTGGCCATGATTGACTCATTTGAATCGATGCACACCATTGTTCGCTGCATGCCATTGTATGCACGTTGTATGGTGTGGACCGGTCATTAATATACATCGCTACAAGGCGTCATTCAGAAATGAAAATTAGGTGAGAGATTTTGATATAATAGCGAGAGAGAGAGAGAGAGAGAGAGAGAGAGAAATATTAATTTAACAGATTACTATAAGATGTATCTTACGAAATAAAATAATATTAATGAAATTAATTTAATTAATTCTTTTTAGGTTTAAAGGAAGCCTATAATTTACTTTAGATTTCAGAATAGAATTTCATTCATAATTTTATGTGCGGTGTGTGTGTATTTTAACACGCACATGTAATTTAATATATATCTTATGTATGTATTCTGATTACTTCGTATTATACGACGTATAAATTACAAATAGAATTAATCAAAAATTTATTACGGTATGAAACAATAAAAATATGTTTTATTAATAAATCTGTGATATTAATATTTTATATATTAATAAATTATAGATGAATATAAATATATTATTATACAATATTCAGAATCTTTTTAATGATATCTGGTTTTTAATAAACATATTAATTGCGTAATAGGGAATAATATGTTTATTATTAATAATAATACATTTGTAATTGTTCTCTTTAATAATAACTTAAGGAACAATTATGTTATAAATTAGAAGTTTTTATACGTGCACACTTAATAAAAATATATAATATACGCTACTAATTACGTATACTTATGCACGACATTAGATTTTAATCTTGCTTTGTTCAAATTTACTGTACGATCACATTATTTGAGTCAATATAATTAAAAAGTTATAAAAAATAAAAAAATTAAGGAAATTTCACAAAAAATTTTTTATGTTAACAGACGAAGTTCAGAAATCAAATGCCAGAAAAAAACATTTTTAAGTAAAATGTTAGTAAAAAATTGACATGTTGGATCAAATAGACCTGAATAGATAGCAGAATAAAGCAAAATATGTCATAATAAACAAACAGTAATATTCAATATATAATAATTATTAACATCTTTAAATTATTTAAATGATAAATTAAATCATTTATTGAAAGAAAAACTGTTTATCTTTAATTTAAAATTATTTATATTTTTATTTTCGAGTATTATTTCTATAATAAATTACAAATTTTTAGTGAATAGATTTCTCTGATATAACTAAATATTTGTCGTTTGTAACATATTGATTACACACTCCAGAATGTTTAGGAAAGAAATGTGACATTTTTGAACATGTGCACAAAATATCGATATGAAGTAAACGAGCAACACACACCAGTTGCATTTTAGTTTATAGGACGAACTGTACATAGCGTGAGAACAAATTGGGGTAAATATTTGTCACTATTTTTGTTCATTAGAGAGTTGTAGGTATCGATACCTTAAGTAGTCAAGATAAATATACGGCTAGTCTTTGTTAACCGTGAGATAGGAGTTCCCAGTGTTGCATCCAGGGAACAGTTCCCTCCACCTCGCGCGCGCACTCATGATTTCACAAAGTCCTCTCTTTATTTTGGGTATACCGTGGACAAATGCGACTAACGTATCGAACTTCCGTCCCGGCTAATTTATGGCGTTGGGATTAGGGGAGTAAAATAGAGAGGGAAAGGCCGGAAAATGGCAATTCTGCAGTGCGGGTAACTATCCCCTTCTGCCCCTTCCTTATTTCTCTAGCTCGCCCGAATGGATTCAAACGCTTAAGAGGTCTCTCTCTTTTTCTCTTCGCCATAGTGAAATATCACTGCTAAGAGAAAGAAACGGTCACCCCCTCCGGGGGTTGACAAAAACAGAGGTAATAAAACTTGGGAGCGTCCCTGTGTACCTCCAACCGAACTGGGAGGATACGTTCGAACGATTACCTTTCCGGTTACGTACCTATACATGCGCTTGAACCTCTTCGGACTGCCGTTTTCAAACGAGATAAAAGAACAGTGGGAAACGATATATATTTGTACATTAAGCGCGATGCAGAGAGGGCAAATACTCGAGGGGAAAGTTGCATCGGCGAGCATTACCGCGATTTCCAGCAAGCTTTGAGAGCACGACGT